GTTTTTTGTTGCTTTTCTTTTCAGTTGGTAAAGGCATAAAATGAGAGAGCTCGCTGGCTCTAGGTTGGGCGAGGCAGGGCAATGTTGGCAGAGTTCAGTCCATGCCGAGGTCTATGCCAGGGGGTCGCTCATGTCCTCGTCAACCTGGGAGAGGAGCTCCTTCTTTTCATCAGTGCTCGCCAGAGAATTGCGGCTGTTGTGGGCACCCATGTACAGGGTGGCATACACTGGGTTCGTGAAGTTGGTGGGCTGCGGAGTGAAGAAAATTTCTCAGTGACTCAGGCAAAAGAAATGAAAAGATTTGGTATATTGTGAAAGAAGCAGTATTTTGCTTATTCAAATAGGCTCAGCTCGCATAAATAACAAGATGTTTCCCAGCTCAGTGCTGAAACCCTGGCAGACAGTTGTGGTTTGTTATGTTTTCTGTGTTTGGTTATTTGTTTCTGAAAGTCTGGGCACTAATCATCTGCCCCCAACAAACCAGTAGGTGTATTTCCAGTGAAGAACTTGCAACTTCTTTTTAAGCACTCAGGACTTTATGGACAATTCCTCATTTGATGTTTTATGATTGTGGTGAAAAGTGTTTGAATATAGTGACCATGAGGGCTCCAGCATAAAAGCTTTATTCAGCTACTTCCCTTATTCACAGTGGATTTCCGTTCCTGACACCCCCCCCCAAGGGATTTTTGTTTCCAGCTGGGATTAAACTGGAGATTTTTTCACTTCTTAGGTGAATGTAAAAGAAATGGTATTTATATAGTGCCTTCATACTGTGCTTTTATCTGCTGAATGCATTCACACACACAGAGGTAACTCAGGGTTCAGTATCTTGCCCAAGCATCGATCTGTATACAAACCACTCGAGCCACAACGTGTAAACCATGAGACTATGGAGCCACTCATCAGAACTAAAGTATATGATTCACATAATTCTAACAATATTCATTCCAAAATTCATTACAGATGCCAGAAGTAAATACCATAACGACACCCACTGGTTTCCTAAGTCTTGCTTTAAAGCTTTTGCATTTGGACTGTGGCGATCTCGATGGCAAAAAACTGGATATAAATGTAGAAAAGTGATTACAGATCAGTCAAGACAGAAAACTGTTTTTCACTAGACGTCCAAAGGACAGGAATATATTGAGAAACCCAGCTACTTTCATCCAGTGTTCTTTAGATCACAAAGAAGGGTCTATTTACTGTCTATAATGACTCCACAACCAAAACCAATTCATTAAAAAAAAAAAAAAAAAAAACTCACAAAAGGACTCATAAATGTGGAAATATCTGCATGGTTAGCCACTACCAGGCATTTTCAGATATTTTGTAATGAAACGGCTTTTT